GTTCAAACATATTAGACTAAATTCTTTGGTACAGGACCTTAAAGAAAGCATGACATTCAGACAGTTGTGTGGTTTCTAATCAGGGCTTTTAGTCAAACATACGGTGAGATTCTTCTGAAAGATAAGAATAGCCTACAAATTATGAGGAATGATTTTAATGAAATTTAAAGTTGTAAACCATGAAGACAGACAAAACATCTTTAGTTCCTTCCAGTATTCAAAGACACCATTTCATACATGGAAAAATAGGAAGGTCCTTTGAGAGTAAAACACCACCTATGAACTTGTTAACATATTGAAAGAAAAGATCCTCAACTAAGCATGTTTTAGGGATTCCCTACTGCAAAATTCCTACTTGGGGAAATATTTCCCCAAGATCAGCATCAAAGGCACAAACAGGGCAGTGAAACCGTGGTCCAGGATCCAAGCTGTATGTTAGTTGACAGTAGAAATCACCAGTATCACAAGTTTGATACACAATAGCTGGCTGGAATGCAGTGGAGGAGAATGATAAGTTAAGGGAGACTTAAACCAAGATTCTAGGAAGCTGCAGAGGCCAGATAATACGTGACTAGTTATTTTAGATTTCCTTCTAGTAAGGTCTGAGAAGGAACTGGGACAGTAAACCTTAGGATATTATGAAACGTCAATGTGTTTGCAATATTAAGCGCATGGTGTGTCTAACAAGGAAAGCTGCAGATGTACTGTAGAGCCAGCACAATGACATGAGCTACAAGTTGGAGATATGCATGAGTGGGATTGCTCGAGGCTATGGGAATGCAGATGATACTATCATAAACCCCAGATTCTAAATACAGACATAAAAGTTTTGTTGTTTGCCACATTTGATTTTAATCTTGCTTTTAAATGTTCTTTCCTTACTTTTCATTCATTATTCTGTTTTACAATGGAAATCTTTAGTCTGTGTCTTTGAATGTATAAAGCACACAGAAGAGATTGCTCTGAGTTTCCAGAGAAAGTTAGATCATACACATAAAAATATCAATTTTATTTTAAATTTATGTCTATGTATGTTTATGAAAGTCATGAGTACATGTGGTTGAGGATATCAACAGAAGTTGGAACACGTCATTGGAGCTGGAGTTATGGACTGTTGTGGGTTTCCTAATGTGGGTGGTGGCAAACAAACTCAAGTCCTCGGCATGAGCAGTACCAATTTTTAACCACTTGGTCATCTCTCTGAGACCATGGAAAACAGATGTTTGAACATTATTAGAACTCCTAAGACTTTAGGGATATTTAGAGGTGTGGTAAATATACTTGTCATTTTAAAATTAACATGAGACTTAAAGTACCACTGTGAAGGGTTATGATTTAAAAGTGATGTATTTGGGCATCAAGTTGACAAGGAATAGAGTTGAGATGGCTAATTTTCACTATCAATTTAATGAAATTTATAATTTTGGCTTAAAGACTTAGAGACCAAGTGTCTCTAAGCACATTTCCTGTGAGGCATGATCTTGGTAGGAGGATGTACCCTGCATGTAGGTGGATCTATTTTCTATATTTAATTCCTGGGCATAAAAACAGAAGCTGGAAAGATTACCATTATAGCTGTATAGTTTGTTATTTTCTGCCTTCTCATTGTTGGTACACTGTGTCCAGTTGTTTCATGATCCTGAACTATTCACTCTCTGCCTTGATGCACTGCACCTGCAAAGCATGAGCTAACCTCAGTCCTTCCTTTCTCATGTTGTCTTTTTTCCCCCATATATTTTTCCATAGCCTTGAGAAAAGTAATTAATGCAAGTGGGATTACAGGAGTCTTTAAACGTAGTCCCTAATTTTTATATTTTGTAAAATTTTTTCCTAGTCTACCATTGTCTCCAACTCTATTCATGGTGTAGCTAAGCAAATAAATTATTAATTTAATTCTGAGGAAAATATGACCATGTTCCTTTTGACCTATTTTAACGTATCTTCTGGGATCTGATAACTATCATTTTTAGAAAACAGCAATTATTGCAACACTAATTGTCTTTACATGGATTCTTAGTAAGGCTATCCAGAAAGATTTGACTTTTGGGACTCCCAAGGAGTAGCAAGTGACTTTAAAAGGTCTGTTAGGAATATGTTCATTATATATATGGATTCAAGTGAATAAACATCAATATTTATAAAAAGGTAAAATATTTCCTTGTTGCTTATATTTTCTTTGGACAAGAAATGAATTCAGAATTTCAACTTTTATAACAACCCTTATGATATGAATATGATATCAGAATTTCCCAATGAGAGCTACATGTTCTATTTTCCTTTCAGGTGATCGACTATTATACTGAGCTCTTACAGATTTGAAAAAAAAATTATCTTCTCAATTCAACCTGCTGGAAAATCTAGAGTAAATTTTCTAGGGATGTGAAGACTCTGAATTTTTGTAAGGTACAAATTTCAATTGGGAAAATGTTAAAATATGCTCTTTATAACATTTTAAAAATATTATAGATATAGAGGAAATTGGGAAGGTTATTAAAAGCAATGTAAATTAGTAGTGGTTTATTCACCTTTATATCTCAAATTGCCCTCTTTCTGTATTTCCCCAGCCTGAGGGCTAAAATATTCTGACAAGTGTCTGGAATCTCAGCCCAGTAGAACATAATTTTTTCCTATGTATAAGATAGCTTTTCTGTAAATATTCCAGAGAAAATTCATCTTATGTTGCATTAGAGATGTGGTTTCCTAAATGCCATCGCTACAGGACTTTTTCCTATGTACTTGTCCTGGCAACGTTGGTGAAATTGTCTTAAGCTTAAGCAGCCAACTGACTGCTTAAATAAATCATGATCTTTTGTTGCAATTAATCATGCCATTTGAAGACTTTTTGTTGTTTAGTAAAATATTTGTACATGATTGTACATACTTAACTTTGCCCAATCTAGTGGAGAAGATGCCCCCATACCCTATATATTACTCTCAATCATTTATTCATGGGATACACACATACACACGTGTGTGTGTGTGTGTGTGTGTGTGTGTGTGAGAGAGAGAGAGAGAGAGAGAGAGAGAGAGAGAGAGAGAGAGAGACAGAGAGAGAGACAGAGAGAGAGAGAGAGAGAGAGAGAGAGAGAGAGAGAGAGAGAGATTTGCCTACTTGTAATAATAGAATTATCTAAATAATTTTGACCTAGTAACTAAATAATACAATTTGAACATATAGCACTTGACTTGTATCAGGACATACCAGATAATGTTGAAAAGTGAATTTCAAACAATATAGCGTTATAAAAATACTCAAGAAAATGAGGGAATATTTGGTTGGAGTTTCTTTAAAGGAAACCTATGCAATCAGGATACTGGCTTCATTACAGCACATTAGGAGAATCTAATCTTGGCAGAAATCAAGTGTTAAATATAAAAGAGCAAGTTAGGAAAGGGATTTAGCAAATATAACTATATTGGATAGCCTTGTATTCTGAAACATTGTCAAATACTCCAAGATTAAACAGGGAAAATACCTAATAACTACTGGGTCAGGCTGTGGTCTGGTTGATTTAAGAATCTCAGTCTGATCACACAGTGTCTCAACAGTGTCCAGGTAATTACAGTTGGCTCTGTTTAGAGAGGCAATCCCTGTTTAACCTAAAGGGAAATGTCAGGATGAGCAATCCTGACTTGCTTTGCAGGCTGTATACATGCCAGATGTATTATTTGGAAGGTTTGATATTTCTTCCAAGTTTGCTTGTTACTCCTCCTGATGAGTAAGAATCAGGTCAGCCTCATCAGTGAGTCATCTGCCTACAATCCTCCACTGTTCAAGAAAGGCTTAGGGAAAGGAATAAAGACTTCAGGGTGGTCCTTTGTAGATGATGTAAAAGATTCTGATAATAAATTGAAAACATCCTAGGTAATCTATCTTTTCTTCAACCTTTAAGGGAGAGCACTACTGGCTAGAGGTAGACACAGTGCTTGTCCTCAGTTGAGCTTCAGTTTCTCTGAATGCTTAAGACAATCAAATGCAAAGTAATTTGTGGTAGAGATGTTAAGCTTTTATCTGACCCTTTGCATTCCACTGTACATTTGCAGTGGTTTTAGGTAAAGCATTATATAAATCTAAGTTATAATTTTCTTGATGAAAACTGTTAAAAAAGAGTAGACAAAAAATGTTGAGTAAAATGGTCACATTTTTTTTTCCAAACTCATAGCCATCTAGTACAAATCCAAGTTTGTGTCTGCAAGATTAAAAGTAACCATTACATTTTATTTTTAACTTTTATGTATTAATTTTTCTTCATTTTCTTTTGTTTTTGCATATTGATGCATAGTAATTGTATATTATATGAGGTAATATAATCTTTTGATATGTGCATAATTATCATATTGAGGTAATTTTTAGATATATCTTTAAAACTATCATGACACTGTCATTCAAATATTCAAAGTTCTTTCTTATTGCCTGCTGACATATTAATAAATAATAGCTTATGAATACTTAAATGGAAAGAAGTCCTTCCAAACACCATGAAAATTTCTTCCTAAACTAACTATGATCATAGACTTAAAATTAGACACTAATTAATAGCACATATTTTTTATATTACTCAGAAGAGTTAAGGTTCTGGAGCTGAATCATAGAAAACCTAGTTTGCATGTATAGAGCCTTAAGGACAATTCAAGATTGGAGAGAGAGAGAGAGAGAGAGAGAGAGAGAGAGAGAGAGAGAGAGAGAGAGAGACAGAGAGAGACAGAGAGAGAGAGAGAGACAGACAGAGAGAGAGAAGGTAAGTCAAAGAGAAGAGAGTGAGGGAGGGGAGAAAGATGGAGAGATATACACAAAAAGAATAAGGAGAGGGTGTGGGCAAGAGTCTGAGAAGCAGAGAGAAGGAAATGAGAGTATTTTTGAAAGTGTGTTTGTAAGTTACATACTTTCTTGAATTCTTTTCCACTGAACATTTCTGTACATCAGTGTTATTACTTAGGGTGATGATCTTATTTATTCATTTTTTCCCTTTCCTACTGACAGGGCCTGAAAAGAATCCAGTATGTCCAATGTCACTGCAATAACTGGATTCATCCTTATGGGGTTCTCTGACATCCAGGAGCTGCAGACTTTATGTGGAGTGCTCTTCCTAGTGATGTACATGGCAGTTGTAATAAGCAATCTCATCATCATTGCTCTTATCACCATTGACCTGCAGCTTCAAACACCCATGTACTTCTTCTTGAAGAATTTGTCCTTGTTGGATGTCTTCTTTGTGTCTGTTCCCATTCCAAATTTCTTTGTCAATAGCCTAACTCACAACAATTCCATTTCCATTCTTGGTTGTGTCTTCCAGGTATTTTTAATGACTTCATTTGCAGCAGGAGAAGTATTTGTCCTGACTGCCATGTCCTATGACCGCTATGTTGCCATTTGCAGTCCTCTGCACTACGATGTCATTATGAATGGTGGTGCCTGTGTTCTTATGGTGGGTGTTTCCTGGGCTACTGGGGCACTCTTTGGAGCCATATATACAGCTGGCACATTTTCCATGCCTTTCTGTGGCTCCAATGTGATCCCACAGTTTTTCTGTGCTGTTTCCTCATTGCTAAGGATTTCATGCCCTCAAACACTTTTGGGCATTTATATGAGTCTTGGAATTGGTGTGTGTCTAGGCATATCCTGCTTTATTTGTGTAGTGATCTCTTACTTTTACATATTCTCCACTGTGCTTAAGATTCCTACTACTAAAGGTCAGTCCAAAGCATTTTCCACATGCATCCCCCACCTCACTGTTTTCACTATTTTCATAGCTACTGCTTGCTTTGTCTATCTGATGCCTCCCTCAGATGTACCATCAATCACAGACAGGCTCTTTTCTGTGCTCTACACTGTGCTGCCTCCAGCACTGAATCCTTTGATCTATAGCCTGAGGAACAGTGATGTCAAGTGTGCTCTGAGTAGGTTGCAGCAAAATCTCTGCCCAAGGGGTTCACTTCATTGAAAACTTCAAAGTATTTTTCAGTGGTATAGCACCTCACAAGTTACAAGCAAGATTTGTAATTTTTGACTTTAGAAAGACAATTATAGGAATTCATATTTTGATTGAGTAAATAATAACTCAGAACAGGGCTGATATTATATAAGATCAGAAAATTAGATTACTTCAGACTAACATACAAACTCATGCCATCAGTTTCTTCTTTTGTATGATAAACCTTTTCTCATTTGAAAAATATAACCTTCTAAATCTATTGATCAATATTAATGCTAAGATTCCATGTTATGTCATTTTATGATTTCTTATCAGTTTCATTTATTTAATAAATAAATAAATAAATAAATAAATAAATAAATAAATAAATAAATAAATAAATAAAAGACCAATTGAGCTAGAGAAAGTATGCGAGCAATAAATGTAAATCCACATATGGTTCCTATGCCAGTCTGTCTAGTAGTGAGAAAAACAGCAGAGAAACTAAACCAGTAGTACCAGAGCATTCTGGAGACTTGACCCAATCTGTAGAGCAATGCCAAATGCTTACAGCAAAGACAAATCTGGAGAAAGATTATATGAGCCAAGTTCTAAAATATAAATAGTGGCTACTATGGTTGAGGGCCAGACAGTGGAGAGGTGGAAATTCATGTGGCTCTTTTTTTTTTGGCACTTCTCCTCAATACAAACATTATTTACAGATGAGAGAAGGTAAGTTCATTTGTCTAAAGTATTAAATAATCTAAACATGTTCTAGAGACTTAAAAAATATAGACAAGTCCCTCTCTCAAAATTATAGAAATGTTAAAAAGTTGCTGAGGAGATGGGAATCTCTGACTCTCCTGCATGCTAATATGATTCTCTATGATTTGTGTAATGACCTCAACATGATGCATACCACTACAGGATTGCAGCACTGGTGAGTTGTAACCAATTTCATGAATAGGAACTTTTTGTGATATAGCTGACTTTGTCTCCTCCATGCCACTGTAAGTAAGGAACTTCGGTAAATTCATTTGTTTACCATGTTGTACTTTGGTGGCATTACTTTTGCATTTCTTTGGTTCTGTATCTGGTGTGAATAGGTATTGTTTCTCCAGAGAAACAATTAACACAGCAATTTTCCATATGTGTTTATTAACCTGCCTGTAGGTCAGAAAAGCCATACTTCTAACTATGTGCAGGTGAATTTTCCCTTAACGGAATAGAAAGAAGTTGTGGAACCAACTAAAATTGCAGAGGAAATCACTTGTCCATGTGTAGAAGCCCATTTTCAGGTTTCCTAGTGTCTTTACCCAGCAGGTCCACATAGAGGGGAGGATTGGACCATGAGCCTGAGTGCAGTTTCATGAGATGGTCTGCACTGGCTGTGGTGTGAAGGGGGCAGCTCTTTTGATCCACCCCGTTGGCATTCCTATAAATACCCCAGGGCAGAGACAGTCAGGGGCCGATGGAATAGGTTCCAGGCCTTCTTGAGGCTATCCTGTATTTTCTATCTTTATTTCCCCCGTCTATATTCTTCTATCTAATATTTCCTGCTGCTCCTACTCAAGAGCACTCTGGGGAACTGTGGGGGTGGTGGGTAGCCTCTCCACATCTATGAAAGATTTCCCTTGGTAAATTTTCCAGTGTCTTCAAATACAAAATATTTTATTTCTGATGTATGCAATCCCTTTGGAGAGTCCATGCTTTATAATAAGAATAATATATATCTTTTATATTTAATTGAGTTTTTGTGTCTCAAAAAGTACAATATTTGGAATGTATGGCCTCTGCCAGTTACATTAACAATGTTTTATAGTCACTCTGTCAAAGGGTTACTAGACTCCAAGTCATGAATTAAAACAATGTCCACTTCTCTTACCCTATTTTATCTTAGCCTCACACATAGTGAGACACATTACTTATCTCTGTCATCCTAAGTGACTCTCCATTCTGGGATATATGCTGACATCTTCAAAACCGCTCTTAATAACAAATCCTATGAATGACATGCTGTCCTTTAAATTATCTATGGGATACTTGACGATAAACACAGGTTTATACTGAAATGGCCCTGCTATGCTTGACTCAGCTCAAACCACTAGCTGTACATGATTTTGTTTGATTGAACCTCAATGTAATCCCAAGGCCTAGTTTAAAATAAGACACAAATAAATCAAATCACATTAAAGATATCCATTGATGTGGTTAACAACAACAAAAAAATCATTTTCCATTTCTTAGCATGGTTTTCACAAAATCACTCTCTCTTCTATGTGGTGTTCAGATTTCAAATGTTTTCCATTCCAACTAAAACTTTTGCCTGTTGTTCTTTTGTGTCTGATTATTGATTAGGTCAATTATGAGGGCAAGAACCTAGAAAGAAAGAAGTCTGATATTACTTCTCAGACTCCCCTACTCTATCTGTGGTGTCAAGTAAAAGAGTTTGCTGCCGCATTACTAAGAAGAAGACCTGAACACACACATTTGAAAATTTTGTTCCTATATCAAAGTCCTGACAATCCAGCTTCTTTCTTTTTGTTTTTATCTTTTTTCTTTGGTATTGTCTGCCACAACTTGACTAAAGTAATCATTCTTTCCACTTAATTAAAATTCAAATAACTTTTATTTTAAGTACAATGCAAAAGTGCTAGAAAACCATGTGCCTTATCTGCTCTCAACGATACAGTAAAGAAGGATGCAGAAGAGGTTAATGAATCATCAGGAATAGCATAGAAAAACAAACACACAGACATTGACATAGAAGGACTGTAAGCCCCCTCAGCCACAGGCTACATATAATGAAATAATACTTCTATATTAAACTGTTTACTACATCATACTCATATAGAAGTATGCAGGTTCCAGACACATGAATACCGAGCCTCTGTTATTCAAAAAATAATAATAATTAAGAAAGAAAATTAGGATTTTTTTGCTGTTTATTTATTTATTTTTAATTAAGAAATTTTCCATTCATCCTACTTATCAGTCACAGATTCCCCTGTCCTCCTTCCTCCCACCCCCCAGCACCCCACAACCTAACCTCCATTCCCACCTCCTCCAAGGCAAGGTCTCCAATGGGGAGTCAGCAGAACCTGACCCATTTAGCTGAGGCAGGTCTAAGCCCCTCCTCCCTGTGCCAAGGCTGTGCATAGTGTCTCACCATGGGTGCTAGGTTCCAAAAAGCCAGCTCATGCACTAGGGACAGGTCCCAGTTCCACTGCCTGGGGGCCTCCCAAACAGTTCAAGCTAAAGAACTGTCCCACTTATCCAGTGGGCGTAGTCCAGTACCATGGTTGCTCCTCAGCTATTGGTCCACAGTTCATGTGTTTCTACTAGTTTGGCTAGTTGTCTCTGTACTTTTTCCAATCATGGTCTCCATATCTCTTGCTCATAGAATCCCTCCTCTCTCTCATCGATTGGACTTTTGGAGCTCTGCCTGGGATCTGGTCATAGATCTCTGAATCTGCTTCCATCAGTCACTGGATGAGGGTTCTATGATGACAGTTAGGGTATTCAGCCATCAGATCAACAGAGTAGGTCAGTTCAGGCACACTCTCGACCATTGCCAGTAATCTATGGTGGAGTCATAATTGTGGATTCCTGGGGAACTCCCTACTACTCTGCTTCTTCCTATTCCCATGGGGTCTTCATTTATCATGGTATCGCGTTCCTTGATCTCCCACTCTGTTCCTGATCCGGCTAGAACCTCCTGCTCCTCTAAGCTCTCTTTCCCCTGATTCTTGCCCTCCATTAAACCCCCTCACCCCTAGTTTGCTCATGTATATCTCATTTCTCCATCACTGGGTGGTCCCTGTCTCTTTCCTATGGTCCTCCTTACTAGCTAGCTTCCCTGGAGCTGTGGGTTGCAGTCTGGCTACCCTTTGCTTTAAATCTAGCATCCACTTATGAGTGAATACATACTATGTTTGTCTTTCTGGGCCTGGGTTACCTCACTCAGGATATTTTCTAGTTCCATCCATTTGCCTGAGAACCTCATTATGTCATTGTTTTCCTCTGCTGAGTAGTACTGCACTGTGTATATGTACCACATTTTATTTATCCATTCTTCAGTTGAGGGACATCTAGGTTGTTTCCAGGTTCTGGCTATTACAAATAATGCTACTATGAACATAATTGAGCATGTGTCCTTGTGGTATGATTGAGCATTCCTTTGGTATATGCCCAAGAGTGGTATAGCTGGGTATTGAGGGAGATGGATTTCTAATTTTCTGAGAAACTGCCATATTGATTTCCAAGTGACTGTACAAGTTTGCATTCCTACCAAGAGTGGAGGGGGGTCCCCTTGCTCCAATCTTCTCCAACATAAGCTATCTCCAGTGTTTTTGATCTTAGCCATTCTGTCAGGTGTAAGATGGTATCTCAGAGTCATTTTGATTTGCATTTCCCTGATGACTAAGGATGTTGAGCAATTCCTTAAATGTCTTTCAGCCATATGAGCTTCTTTGTTGAGAATTCTCTGTTTAGCTCTATAGCCCATTTTTTAATAGGTATTTTGGTGTCTAGTTTCTTGAGTTCTTTATATATTCTGGATATCAGTTCTCTGTCAGATGTGGGATTGGTGAAGGTCTTTTCCCATTCTGTAGGCTGTCGTTTTGTCTTATTGACCATGTCCTTTGCCCTACAAAAGTTTCTCAGTTTCAGGAAGTCCCATTTATTAATTGTGGCTCTCAGTGTCTGTGCTAGTGTTGTTATATTTAGGAAGTGATCTCCGGTGCCATTGTGTTCAAGGCTACTTCCTACTTTCTCTTCTATCAGGTTCAGAGTAGCTGGATTTATGTTGAGGTCTGTGATCCACTTGGACTTAAGTTTTGTGCATGGAGACAGATATGAATCTATTTGCAGTCTTCTACATGTTGACATCCAGTTATGCCAGCATACCATTTGTTGAAGATGCTTTCTTTTTTCCATTGTACAGCTTAGGCTTCTTTGTCAAAAATTATATGTTCATACCTGTGCAGATATCAGGGTCTTCAATGCGATTCCATTGGCCCACATGTCATTTTTTATGTGAGTACCAAGCTGTTTTTATTACTGTAGCTCTATAGTAGAGCTTGAAGTCAGGGATTGTGATGCCTCCAGAGGTTGTTTTATTTTACAGGATTCTTTTAGCTATCCTAGGTTTTTTGTTTTCCATATGAAATTGAGTATTGTTCTTTCCACGT